TGCTCCCTTCAACATCGCAAAAACCAAACTTCTGCCCTTCAGGGCAGAAAAGCACAGGGAATTTGCTCTCAAGGGAAGGACAGGCCCATGAGCTTCTTGCGACAGGACGTCGCTAACAATAAGACTTTCGGCCCTTAAACTTCGCAAAAACCACACTTCTGCCCCTGAAAGCAGAAAAGCACAGGGAGTTTGATTTTGAGGGAAAAAAAGAATCATGGGCTTAAGCGGCAAATATTTTCTCTAACAATTTTCAGCTGTCAATATTCAATTATACAATAACTTGCTTGAAATTCACTTCTGCCCCCTTCTACAGCAAAAACCAAACTTCTGCCCCTGGAGGCAGAAAAGCACAAGGAATTTGGTCTCGAGGAAGGACAGGCCCATGAGCTTCTTGCGACACGACATATTCGCTAAGATTTTTGGCCCTTAAACTTCGCAAAAACCACACTTACCACACTTCTACTCCTGAAAGCAGAAAAGCACAGGGAGTTTGATTTCGAGAGAAAAAAGAATCATGGGCTCAAGCGGCAAATATTTTCTCTAACAATTTTCATTTATCAATGTTTGATTATACAGAAATTTGCTTAGAATTCACTTTTGCCCCTTTCAACATCGCAAAAACCAAAGTTCTGCCCTTCAGGGCAGAAGAGCACAGGGAATTTGATCTCGAGGGAAGGACAGGCCCATGAGCTACTTGCGACAGGACATACTCGCTAAGACTCTTGGCCCTTAAACTTCGCAAAAACCACACTTCTGCCCCTGAAAGCAGAAAAGCACAGGAAGTTTGGTTTCGAGGGAAAAAAGATTCATGGGCTCAGGCGGCAATGTATTTCCGCTAACCATTTTCAGTTATCAATGTTTCATCATACAGAAACTTGCTTGAAATTCACTTCTGCCCCCCTCTACGTCGCAAAAACCAAACTTCTGCCCGTGGAGGCAGAAAACTTAAACTTCGCAAAAACCAAACTTCTGCCCTTCAGGGCAGAAAAGCACAGGGAATTTGCTCTCGAGGGAAGGACAGGCCCATGAGCTACTTGCGACAGGACATACTCGCTAAGACTCTTGGCCCTTAAACTTCGCAAAAACCACACTTCTGCCCCTGAAAGCAGAAAAGCACAGGAAGTTTGGTTTCGAGGGAAAAAAGATTCATGGGCTCAGGCGGCAATGTATTTCCGCTAACCATTTTCAGTTATCAATGTTTCATCATACAGAAACTTGCTTGAAATTCACTTCTGCCCCCCTCTACGTCGCAAAAACCAAACTTCTGCCCGTGGAGGCAGAAAACTTAAACTTCGCAAAAACCAAACTTCTGCCCTTAAAGACAGAAAAGCACAGGGAATCTGGTTTCGAAGGAAGGACAGAGCCATGAGCTTCTTGCGACAGGACATATTCGCCAAGATTTTTGGCCCCTTCAACTTCCCAAAAACCACGCTTCTGCTCCTAAAAGCAAAAAAGCACAAGGACCTTGAATTCGAGGGAAGGATAGACTCAGGGTTTTATGCGACAGGACAGTCTCGCTAGGGTATGCACGTACGCTGGGGAGGAGAGGGGATTTGAGAATGCGGCATATCTCGCTACTCTAGGGGCCGCATGCACGAACAGGGGAGCTGGGGAGGGGATCGCGCTTCAGAAGAAAGCTTCATATCCTGAAGCTCCGAAGTTCTGGATTTCACGCTGTCTACCTGTCCGTAAGTATTCCTACCACCCTTTACTATGAACATATTGAACAGGAGCAAGAAGCTGTACAAGCCGTTTTTTCCAGCTTTTTGTACGATCCCCTGGTGATCCCCGGGGGACGACCGGTTCTTCTTTAGTCATTTTTCTTTCTGCGAAGTTAAAGAAAACCATCCAAAGTTGTACTGAACATCTAATACAACAGTGCTAAGCATTTGCTGATGAGAACAAATGAGTTTTTGAAAAGTCGAATTTTCCGGTAAACCTCAAATTTCGACCTGTGGATCATCGAAAATTTCATGACTTCAAAACATCAATTGTTCTTACCAGAAATATGATTAGCACTGTTGGGTTAGATAAGCAGTACAACTTTGGAATGTTTTCATTACCTTTGAAGAAAGAAAAACGACTTTAAGGCCCGTATGCACGAACATTCCTGCGGCGAGGGGAGCGGCGTCCTCCGTTATGAAGGGGCCGCGTGCGATCGCCGCTGCGGCTTTTTCATCATTGGGGATGCCGCTCCGCCTCGCCCGCAGGAATGTTCGTGCATACGGGCCTAAAGAAGTGGCGGTCGTTCCCCGGGGATCACTAGGGGATCGTACAAAAAGCTCCAAAAATCCGCTTGTTCAGCTTCTCGCTCCTGTTCAGTATGTTCATAGTGAAGGATGGTAGGAATACTTACGGACAGGTAGACAGCGTGAAATCCAGAAGTTCGGAGCTTCAGGATATGAAGCTTTCTTTTAAGCTGCGATCCCCTCCCCAACTCTCCTGTTCGTGCATGCGGCCCTAGGTATCTTTCTTCTTCCTGGGCTGTGGTCTGGAGCTAAGGTATCTGCGAGAGGAATAGCAAAGATGCTTTGCAGATAATAAGTCATTGGTGGTAGGTTCTTTACTCAAGAGCATGGTGTCTTGTTTCTACTACTACTGACACGCGAAAGGTCGGTGAAAAGATGGAAATTCTGTTTCTTGTCTTAGTTATACACAGCCAGATATTAATGGGAGGTGGTGCAGGAGGAACCAAGGCCCTTGCCGCCTGTATCCAAGGGGAATAGTGGAAGGCAGAGGAGGCTCCGCCTATCGCTCCGCCCACGGGATGCTCCCATTGTGTGTTGAGCAAGAGTGGTAGATGGACTACCAGATATTGATCAAATTTGATAGATTAAGAGGTTGAACCATGAATTTGGAATTTGAGAAATGGACAGTAAAGATTCTCAAACAGGTTTTCAGGTACCAGGATGATAATAAAAGTAGCACTATATCATAAACCTAATAAAAATTTAATCAAAACGGGAGAACATAAGCCGAAAATAAAGTTTCAAAGTGATTTTAACATATTTTCAACATAGAGCCTAATACTACATCCTGGATACTCAAATCCAAAAAGGATGTAAAATAATGCAAACATCTTATGCCCGAGAGGAAGCTCAATAAAGCTTCACAGCTCAGATTTGAAGTGTGAACCAATCCTGGACAACTTTACCCCGCTGGCAGTTGTCGAGGCATAGAATTAGAGAAGTGGGACAATATCTAATATAAATGGGGAAAACCAATGAAAACTAATTTAACTGTTATAACAGAAAAGTTTTGTGACCTTGCCTGCTTTTTGCAGCCTTTTGCCCGAGTCTGCTTCAACTCATTTTTGGTAAATAATTTAACATCTACTTTCGCAAGTTCACCTAATTAAAATACGACTTTTCAACCTTTTTCTCGCGAATTTTTCTCACCCTCTCCCTCCTCCTCCCCCCCCCCCGAGTAAAATATTTACTGGAGTTAACAACGAACAAAGTTTTCACTTATTATGACTTTCTTGCTCATCAGACGACTGGCTTGATCCTGCAAAGGTCAACTAATCGGCTATCGATTATCACAAATGCAACTAACGCAGTGACTATCGTAAAAGATTGGGAAAATTATCTCAGGAAAATAAAATGCATTTTGGAGTAAGTTCTCCGCGAAGTAATTTAAGAGTTCATGAAATATTTGAAATCGAGCCGAAGCTCTTACCTCTCTAAAAATTGCCTATCAATTCCAGTCTTTAAAAGAATGCTAGAATTGCATTGATGTGAATCCATACAAAAGTCCATTTGAAAGATTCGTTTTTCAAAACTGGTCACAAACTTGTTTTTCCCTTCCTTGTATCCCCACCTCAGGTCTTTTAAACTAGCCTTTTCCTTCAAGGAATTCCTGGGCAAAAAAGGCAAAACCCAGGCACAGCGCGAGGGGCGGAGCTTGGAAGGTTGCCAAATCCTTCTTGGCACGCAGCCAGCTCCTCCCCTTTCCCCCTTGGATATAGGGGTCAAGGGCTCTGGTTCCTCCTGCACCGCCGCCATATCAATGTATCTGCCCCCACCCACTTACTAGCGACCCGTAGGGTCGCTAGTCTTATATATAAAGCTGAATGTCTGTTTGTATGTATGTATGTCTGTCTGTCTGTATGTCTGTCTGTGTGTACGTATGTTCCGAATAGAAAATTCCATTTCTTAACCGATCCGGACCAAACTTGGCACACATACCCTTCGGGCCCCGGCGGGTGTCACAGTCCACTTTTCGTCATCGATCGATGTCGATTTTATCGATTTTTTGCAAAATTTAAGCTACGGGGCTGGGAGTTGGCAGAGGGGTGTAATCGAGCATGCTGAACGAATACAATATTAGTTTTCGAAACCGTGCATTACTTTTATCGATTTTATCGATTTTTTTGCAGAGTTTGAGCTACAGGGCTGGGATTTGGCACAGAGGGTAATCGAGCTTGCTGATCACCCCCGTGAGGGTGATCAGCATGCTCGATTACACCCCTCCGCCAACTCCCAGCCCCGTAGCTTAAATTTTGCAAAAAATCGATAAAATCGACATCGATCGATAACGAAAAGTGGACTGTGACACCCGCCGGGGCCCGAAGGGTATGTGTGCCAAGTTTGGTCCGGATCGGTTCAGAAATGGAATTTTTCTATTCGGAACATACGGCGGAGCCGGGTAAGCCAGCTAGTAGCTGATATAACGATAGCCCCCCAAAATCTCACCGTGCATAAATATTTTTTTTTCGTGTACGCGTTACAACGAATAATCGTCTACGTGCAAGTTTTTGATAGTATATCGTTAAAAATGAAAAGTATAAACCACATCATTTTTGCTACTGACAAAATATTAACGAATAATGAAAATCGCGTTGTTATGGACTAAGGTTATAGACCACTACCTAGCCGCTAAATATTATAGGCTACCAGCTGGCAAACTTGGCTCCGCCCGACCCTATCAATATTACTTTCGTAGTCAGCATGCTTACTTACCGGTGTGCCTACTACCAGCCTCTTAGGTGAAATTTTCCAGATTGGTAAAATCAATGACGTAAGGTAACCTACGACAACCCCCCTCGCCACGAAGTGTATGTGTACCGATTTTGGTAGGGATCGGTTCTGGAATAAAATTTTCTAATCAAAACTTGCGTGCAGACAGACATACAAACGGACAGGCATACAGACAAATAGACACTCAGCTTTTTTCAGACAGTCGTTAAATCTATCATGCGCAATAGATGCTTCAAGTCCTAATCTAGCCCTTAAAACTTTGCTCAAAACCTTACGGCGAAACGCTCTGTAATGGACAAATTCAGAAAAGCTTTTGAACTCTTTTTACGATGGTATGCATCGAAGGCCACTCAAAAAAATATCAGTTTTTTTTTATAAGGGAAGATACTTACTTAGAATACGCTGTTTGATGAAATATTTGGCATCATCGTGAAACGCTGATTGAAGATATGTTGTCCCTAGTGCTGAGCGCCATCCTTAAAGGCAGCGTCTAGGCAAGTCTGGACACATGAGGATCTCACGTAGTTAGTAATTTTGGAGCCCTAACTAAGCCACTGCCCAAGCGGCAGCTCTAACGGCTGAGATATTTACTAGTGCTCTAACGGCTGAGATATTCTCCTCGAAACTGGCCCCCGCAATCGTATTTCGCATGGATTCATGGCGCAAGGCGTGGATCCTGGCGCGAAACTGCCACGAGTCCATGCGAATACGATCGCGGGGTCCAGTTTCGAGGGGAATATCTCAGCCGTTAGAGCATTACATACGCTGCCGCTTGGGCAGTGCCTTAGTTAGGGCACTAAAAGTACTTTCCACGTAAAATCCCCATAGGTCCAGATCTGCCTCGACGCTGCCTCTAAGCGAGCTAACTAGCTTATTGTTAGTATTGTATTTGACAAACTTCTGAAAATGGTAAGACTGCCTATATAAAGGAATTTGCACGAAAAAAGTGCTAGTGAACAGGCATCAAATTGAGTCCTTTGATCCCAAAAGGAAACATCACCAATTGCAAAATCACCTAGACAGTGAACCGTAGCATCATTGTGTCGACGAACATGCATTTTGTGACAGAAAAGAGTCCATAACTCGCTCTAGAATGAGCTCACCATCTAGTAGTAGCATATGTAAATTCAGCGCCCAAAGCAGATTCCAAAAATCGGGTTGAGCCGAGAGTTCTTGCGCAACATTTTTGCAAAATCATAACTTCTTGCTTTCTCAATATATTTGCACAAACTTAACTTCGCTAAATAGAGGAAACCCGTTTCTTTGTGATAATGCTTTTGCAGCTCTCTAGGGTAGCTTTTGAGTTGGAAGCAGGAGCATAAAATTACTTCAAACTCGGTCAATTTGAGTTAAGCTGCTTAAGTCTGAAAGTTGTCGATAAAATTCAGAGCAAGCAATATAGTACCCTAATTTTATGAGTACAAGACGAGGGGTTTTTTCCTATGCTGCATATTGCCTGAGGGTATCCTGCGGCATGAGTCTCGTCTTCCGAGAAAGAGCGAAGCGACTGAGCTGCTCGCTTAGAAAGTCAAAAAGGTGCGTCCTATACTCGTGAAATTAGGCTGTCTTTCAATCCACTGTTTCCGTGTGCTAAGTTTGTGTTAAAAGTGCATTTTTTGAAGAGTTATGATTTTCGAAAAAAATGCCAAAAAAATTAAATTCGCTGTTTTGTATTAGCCGAAAATCATGACTCTTCACAGAAATGCTGCTATGACACAAACTTTGCACAGATGGAAAGGGAGTGAATTGAAAGACTCCTATACTGCTTACTCGTAATCTTATCGCAAGTTTCAGATTTCTAACGGCTTAACTCAAAATGATCAGATTTGAAGTAATTTGGTTCTTCTGCTTCCATCTCTCCTTATTAGAAAGAAGCAAAGGCACCATCGCAAAGAAAAGACTTTCCTCTATTTGAAAATCAAGCTTCTGTAGATCCCTTGAAGGAGCAAGATTTTATGATTTTTCAAAAATGATGCGCAAAACTTTTGCGTCAACCTAATATATATGTCTCATCTCGAAAGCGAATCTAAGCAAGTATCCTTTTGTTGTTAGTCGTTTTGTTTATATGATTAGATGTCCTAAGCTGTAAAGGTTTAGCAAAAATATGGAAGATTTTTAGAAACGATCTGCATACGACCCTAACTCTCTAACAGAAAAACTTCCAAATAATCATAAAAACGTTTACTACTGCAGACCTTAATCCATTTGCTCGCTGAGCTCTTTTCAAAGTTAAGACTGAAGGTGTTAGCATCCAACTTGCAGTCGGATATCTTTTAGCTTCATGAAAGATGAATCTATATACACCCGCCGATGGACTATTTGGGACACATGTCACTTGGGAAGATATTGAAGGGGACTTACAAAGAGAGCTTCACACTGCCGCAAAATTTGGTGCTAACAAGACAGCGAAAAATATTGGAGACATGAAAGTAAATAATGCAGATTTGCATAGTTCCGAAAATTCTTATATTGTTTTAGGGATTCATGTCCAGAATGGTTCTCATCGATCCTGACTGGCAGAACATTAACAATGACCTCCCGAAAAAATTTGTCGTTAAGGTGTGCGTACCACTTTTTCAAATTTCGCTATGCGAGTTCTCTTCAGATTATCTCTTCACTAGCAATGCTCGAGCTTACGGAAAAACTATCGAAAGCTCGCAACTTGCCGAATCACTTCAGTACAGAAGAAATGAAAAAAACCATTGAGGTCAAGCAGTGGAAGGTACGCTTGGCGGCGTTGACGGAACTTAGGTTGTTTTGTACATCAGCTAAGTTCTTTGAACAAATCAATCAATTAATCATATCGGTTTCCATATTGCTTTGAGAATGAGGTTGCCTGATAAATCACTTTTTCTTCTTAGCAGCTATTTTTAGGCTCACAACGTTGAAGTCAGCGTGTACAATCAGTTACTGAAACTTCCAAAAGGAAAGATGCCTATGCCAAAGGTGCAGTTCTGCTTTCGGAAACTTAGAAAGAGAAGCATATTATATTGGTGCATAATTAATCAAACTTTTCTTGCTTATAATCAGTTCACCCGACAGATGTCAAAACTGTGCGCATCTCGACTTATATTAGGTTGGTCCAAAAGTTCTGTCCCACCATTTTCAAAAATCATAACTTCCTCCTAACATGATGTTTTTGCATGACTAAAACCTTATGAAAAGAGCAACTCATATACTTTCTAAAACTTCCTTGGCTGCTATCTATTAAGCTCTGAATGCAGAGATGAAATTAGGGAAAGAAAATACTTCAAGTTCGGAATTTTTAAGCAAGCCCGTTAAAATCCAAAACTGTGCAGTAAAATCTAAAACAGCTAGTAGCCTAGGTTTTCCGATTCCCTCTCTCTACATGAGCATAATTCGCGCTGATAGAGTTCTTTCTAAAAAAGTTATGGTTCCCAGGGAAAATACCAAAAAATCAGTTTCTTAAGAAAATTGATTTTTTGACATTTTTTTCAAAAAATCATAGCTTTTGAAGTAACAGCTCGATCAGCTCGAATTTTTCTCAGCTGGAAAGAGGAGGTCAAAAAGTCTAGGATAGTTGCTGTTTTGGATTTTAGGGCACAGTTTCGGATTTTGCTGATTGCTTTTGCTGATTCAGGGGCTTGCTTAAAAATTTCGAACTTGAAGTGATTTTCTTTCCCCAATTTCATCTCTGCATTCAAAGCTCAATAGATAGCAGCCAAGGAAGTTTTAGAAAGTGTATGAGTTGCTCTTTTCATAAGGTTTTAGTCCTGCAAAAACATCATGTTAGGAGGAAGTTATGATTTGAAAATGGTGGGACAGAACTTTCGGAACAACCTAATATATCACTACATGACCCTCCTTTTTCGGAAACAACTAATTTTATGCGACATTTTATGACCTTCACATTTGCGTAGATTATACTTTGAGTTGGACAAAAGATAAGGCTTTATGTTGTTGGTACAGTCGCGATTATACCTTGAGCGAATTTATCAAAGTTTTTTCTGAACGACTAGAGCATGTTGGTGGCGAGAAGGAGATCAAAGATGGCAGGTTCAAGTTTTTTCCAGAAACTTTTTGTAGTCTAATTTTGTATTCATTGACAATTCACTATTGATGCTCCTAAAAATATTATTGTGGGACTCTTGGAATACTTGTAGGCTTTGTTATCTAACAAGGAAATAATCAGAAGCCGCAGTGACCAATCCACTCTAGCTGCATACCATACTCCAAATTCTGTCATCCTTATCTGCTAAACGGCTGCAAGCAAAGCTATAGGCCCTATATCACAGATTGTGTATGTAAAGTGCAAATTTATACATACAGATCCATTTTCGGCCTAATAGCGTAATACTCGACTACAACATGCGTTGATACTCAATATGTCCATACCCAAAGGTGAGCTATAAATGCAATGATATGTTTAATGGCGCAATTTGTAAGTACGACTTTTTTTACAGCAAAGCTGCTTATAACTTCGTCCACAAAGGCGTTTAGCAGGTAGGGAAGTCAATTTTCGGGTCAACATTTCATCCGCTGGTATGCAGCTTCTTTGGATTTGCCACTTTGACTTCTGACCATTTCCTTCAAGGACTTATCTTGTTAACCTAATTTCACGAATACAAGACGCACCTGTTTTTTTCTAAACTCGACCAACCTAAACACAGTAAAAAACTTTGCGACCAAGAGTGGATTATCATTTGATACTCCAAAGAACAAATGGTATTCATCGGATCGAAATATTTTTTTTGAAATTTTCGAGTGCAGCAGCCTGTGACGGATTAGAAATCCTTGATATGGCTATTTTTTTCTCGAGGCCTTCATAAACAAAAAAGAAAAACACCTCTTACAAGGAGAAGAAGAAACTGCATCTAGTGACACCCTAGCTGTTTGCCGTCTGATGTTGGAGATTTGTGAAAAACAAATATCATGGTAGTATTAAGTTGATAATTCTAGAAATTTTGAAAAGCTAGCTATCGGTGCCAAAAAATTATATTACATTGCATTTTGTTTATCTATCTAATTGTCATCAAAGCGTTTTCAATCCATAGCGAAAATTCAAAGTAATAGCAAAAGTTAAAGTAAAAACCATGGGCCAAGGATACGATTTTTCAAGCGAACATCAAAGGAATCCGAGTAAAAACATTATTGCTGGAAAGACGAAGAAATTCTGCGTAGAACAGTTTGCCTATCTTTATTCTGAAGGATTTGAGGATAGGTCTATAGAACGGCACGAATTTCGGACCCACTTATAAGTGGACGAGTTTCCTGCCCTGACTCCTCCCTCCCGTGCTCATTGTCACGCCGCGTCTCGACGTATATCATAAGGGGCAGAGCTAGGCACTGGTGGCTTACGGGGCAAGCTGATTATCGTTTTGGGGTGAAAAGTAAGGGTAATTGAAAAGCGGAAAACTCTCCCTACCCTCCCCCCCCTCCACAATCATCTTCTCTTTCTTATGTCACCATTCATCTTTTACAGAGCACGCAGGTTGTCATTCTTGTTTTATTGATCTTACTCCTGAAAAACCAAAAATGCCTGAACAGGTTAGCCGGTCAAGCGCGTGAATTTTGAGTCCTGCTCCAAAATAAACAAAAACCTTGTTCACAGTGAAGAGAAAATGAAATGACACAAAATTGGTGAGTAGACGGGCTATAGGGAGTTAGGACTATGTACGAAAAATTATGAAAAAGTTAAGTGAACTGAGGGCGTGGCAAACTTTTTTCAGTTAGGTGGCTTTCTAGCCCTGGACACTACCTGAGGTGGTTGTGAAAAGGGAAAAAATCATGAATTTTCCTTCTTTAACATAATTTTTTCACATGTTAAGCATAACTTTATTCTACATCAAAACTCTACAATTGAGTTTATGAATCTCTTCAAATCTCTCCACCCCGCCAGGTCGCAGCCCTCCGACTACTTTGTATGACGGCAGGCCTGCTCTAAGCGCGCAATGGTGCGCGCCGCCACAGCATGCCGTCAGTTTGTAGAGCTCAAACACCTTTAGTTCTTTTTCGCCTGTTCGATGTTGTTTTCATGTTTTGTTCCATTATTTTTTGTTACTTGTGTTTGATACGTTCATGATTGCGTTAGGTGATGTCGTATTTTTGTAGCGAAGACTATGGGGAGGTCGTTTTTGAAAATGAAAAAGCCACCTCATGCCGAGCTGAATGGGCTGGCAACATTAATATAGTGGTAATCTTTCAAATATTAACCTCAAAAATAAATAGAATTAACAAAACTTACAATATGTTTACCATTCTTCCACATAATACTATTGAATCTAACATAAGTGAAAATCCCAAACTGTGCTTCATATTGCTGGTAAAAAATATATTATACACAAGCATAATAAAGTCTATCACGCCGACAACTCGTTAGATATTCGCTAGATATAAATTGAAGTGTAAATTTCAATTCAATTGTAGACTTACTTTGCCTAGTAGATGATATATTTGAGAACAGCTTTTGAAATAGTACATACATACTAAAATAAAAAACTGAAGTGCTGTAAGGGGTAATTTTAGCCCTCTCTTAGCAGATCTCACACTTTCCTGGTTCAAGTTCTTATGATCAATAAAGAATATTGCTTATTACAATCGAATTATTCCATATAGATACAGTGATGAGTTATTAATTTACATAGTGAGGATACATTATGCGCAATTCAATTGAAAAATCTAAAAAATACACTATAGAATCAACACATGAAAAGCAATATACTTATCACTAGAACAGAAATAATAAATAATAAATCAATAACTAAAATAAACAATAACACAGATATTTTGGATTTTCTGCAAAGGGATCATACATTCTTCTAGTACCGCTAATAACATCAAAAAAGCTACAATATATACCGAAAAAATAGTTCGCATATGTAGTTTATTTAATGAGTTCATTAAAATTTCAAAATTGTAATTAACTAGCAAAAAATGATTCATACACTATCTCATCATGTACATTCAAATTTATAAGTAAAAACAAGTTTATTCTATTAGGTGGGCCCGAAAGTTCGTGCTGTTTTTTAGACCATCAAAAAGCTTTTAGACCTGTCCTCAAATCATTCAGAATACACGTTCTATGCAGAAATTCTTCCTTTTTCCAGCAGTAATACTTTTGTTCAGATTACTTAAGTGTTTTTTCGAATAATCGCCTCAATCTCCAACCCATGCATTTTGCTTACCCTAACTTTAGCTATTTTTTGAAATCTTCCTTTTGGACTTCTAAAAAGGCTTTCCAGCCCTGGACACCAGGTGACTGTGAAAAGGAAACATGCCGTCAGTTTGCAGAGTTCAAACATCTTTTGTTCTTTTTCGTCTGTTCAAAAATGTTTTTATGTTTTGTTCCATTATTTTTTGTTACTTGTGTTAGATACGTTCATGATTGCGTTAGGTGATGTCGTATTTTTGTGGCGAAGACTATGGGGACCTCGTTTTTGGAAAATTGAAAAAGCCACTTCATGCCAGGGCCCAGCACGAGATCGGCAAATGACAAGCTGGAAATCATTTTCAGCAAAAAAAAGCAAAGGGGAAATCTTTTCTGCCGGACCGGGGCGAAGCCCCGGGAAAATTGGTAGCTCATGCTCTCTGCTTATCTTACATGTTGTGGGCTTCAAGGCGACCACTGGAGTTCGCGCGCGTCAAACCGAATTGCCGCACGCGTGACGTCGCTGAACCGATGCGTTTTGGGACAGCATACATGAATAGTTCTCAATGTAGCATATTGATATGGCACGAAATTTCGTAAGCGAACGAATAGTAGCCCGCTTTAAAAATCGCTAAGGAAATCTCCAAAGAGAAGCAATTTGTGTGTCAGTACAAATTCGCCCAGATACTTCACTACCTTAGCTTATTTTCTAACGTGGTTCTCTGAGGAAGTTGTTGTGGCTTATGTACTTTTGCAAATCAATCTTCTTTCGTTTTATCTTGATTTTAGCCCTCGTTTGTCCGTATAGAGACAGAGCTTGGACGTTCGTTAGAAATAAGCAATCCTAGGATATTGGATGTATGTGTTTCGCTGTCCTAAAAACCTCTAGAGCTCTTTTTGGTAAACCTCTCAAAAGTAAACATTATTTTGCTTTGATAAGGAGAGGGTGCGTAGCAAGTGGTACCCAGGCAGCCGACTGCTGCCGCGGCCAGCCGCCAGAGCTGCCGGCAAAGCCGATGCAGATGGCACAGTAATTAACATACCTTCGATAGTCTAGAGACAAGGCACCAAAAATGAAGGTTGTTTGAACATATGACGTCATAAAAAGTGAAGGTTGTTTAAAGAAGTCCAGAGAAGAAAATATGACGTAAAACAGATATAAAAAGCAAAAGGAACTGCTGAAAACCGGATAAAAACACTGCAAAGAGATCTGAAATCTTTCATTTGGCTGCTTTTCAATGTGCATGTTTTCGCTCCAGGATCAGCAATTCGCAACACGGGGTTTTGATTTTTGATGCGCCCTTTAAATTTTCACCCCCGCATTGACGTGTTCCCTGGGACGTTGTCTGGATTGTTGCGCTTATTGTTCTGAGCAATAATCACCCAAGCTGGAAAAAAGTCGATGCAAAGGCACTGAAACAGAACAAGGTAAACAAAAATGCACTTTTTACGATTTTTCGCAAAAAATTCCACTATAATCGAAGAGGTAAGGGCTGAGTGGTTGTCTGCATTATGAACAGAAGCAAGATCTATAGAATGCACGAAAAAACCGCGTAAAAATAGTTAAACTGGGAGAAAAACATGACATTTTCGAAAACTAGGTTTAGAAAACTAGGCCGGATTTCTCGATCAAATCAAAAAATGTGGTACTGGGACGTTGTCAGCGTGAAAATAGAGATCAAGTGCTTCAGAATGATATATAGCTTGCTAACATTGGGTTTGAAACAGCGAAGAAAAGGGTACCAGAGCCAAATGCCCCGCGTTCCGCGTTTGGGGTAGCGAGGTAGCGCGCAGCGCGCGGAGACGCAGACCAGCAGCCCAGACAGACCAGAGCCGACGGGGCATTCGGCTCTGGTCGTAGATCTCCGCGGGGTCTCAACGAAACCCTGTAACATTATATTCATTCTGATCGTCATGACATGACGAGGAGAAATGATAACGTCCCAAGGCTCACTCATTAACGAGATAGACCAGCGTTTTCGTGCGCGACTCTTTGCGCAAGATTTAAGCGCAGTTCTCGTTTTTATTTAACTCCAATAGCTTTCCTAAACTTCTGAAACTCGATTTTATTCAAATGAGAGGATAAATGAGAAATTTTGTCTTGAATTCGGCGAAGATTCCACAGAAACGTTCTCTTCAAGGTAAAAAAGGCTACGAAAACGCAAATTCTCGGTTTCGCTAAGATAACTAAAGATATTATTCTCTATATTTGTTTCATTAACATTCGTTCCGATTTAGTCAGGATAATAACATCCGGGGCGAAGCCCCGGATGACTTCTATTTTCAGGTGAAGGTTGTGTCCCCCCATAGTCCTCAAAGTGAAGGTTACCAGAGTACGTGGCTCTATGTATCGAGGGTATGTCAGAAAAGCGTGATATTCTCGATATCTATATTATTTGAAAGAGCAGAAAAGTTGAAGTTTTTTTTCTAGCTTTTACGTCGAAGAACGAACGAGAACAGTTACAGGAAAATGTCTTGGATGTAAAGGTAAGAAAACTGTGTCAAAATGATTATTTCACACAGAGTGTTAAGCGAGCTAAAGGCAAAGTAGGTCAATCTGAGTAGGTCAATGATTTAAAAGGGAACAACACCAAGAAGTATGTACTTTCTTTTATCTACACAGTTCACTTCTCCAGGTACTTTAATAAAATAAACAAATAATAATGAAAAGATTCGAAATTCACAACTCATTGCGAATTATAAAAGCGCAAAATTGAAAGAACTACCTCTGTTTATTCCTTTAACAGAAAAAATTCAAGAATTCTAATTTTTTCAGCTTCTGCTTCCTTTGAGTTTTTGAAGTGATTTGATTTTGTGATCATTTTCCTCTAGAAAAACCTTTCTCTGGTCATCTTTGTTTATTTGCTTGATTTCAAAAAACATGAATTTTTTGTCAAAATGTAAAGATATCGAGGATATCACGCTTTCCTGAGGCTGATTTCGCACCTCAAAGCGACGAGGTGCGAGAAAACCTCTCGGCAAGAGTTTTAGACGACAAGCGTAATTACTGTACCATCTCAGCCGACTGCTGCCGGCAGCTCTGGCGCCTGGCTGCGGCAGCAGTCGGCTGCCCGGATACCACTTGCACGCCTCCCATAAGGAGATGCTGCGCGGAGTTGAAGCAATTTGAAATTTACTAATGCTTAACTCCACCCTCAACCCTACTTTTGCCAAAGAGTTCTATTCAAGATGCTAGTCTCTTACTGTAACTCTTGGGTAGCTTGACGAATCCTGTACTACCATTTTAGTGCAGTTGCACATACCTGCACAACTGTTTTACTGTAACTCCTATGCACTTCTACACATACTGTGCACATACTCCGAATTTGCCCCCCCCCTCCGCCCTCCCGCTCCCCTCCCAGCTGCCGGTGCAGATTTACTTTCATTGCCCTCACTGCGGAGATCTCTACATGATCTCATTTTTTTGCTTTTTGTCATGAATGAATTGTTTTGTTTTTTTTTGAATAAAACTTGTTCTCTGCGTAAAGTGTTCACTGCGCAATCACTGGGATCAGTTTTTGGTTTAAAGGGGTATTCGTAAAAATTTGGGGTCAAAGGAATTCGTTTTCAAAACCCCTTTTGACAAACGCGTGCCGGGCCCTGCCTCATGCCGAGCCCTAGTTAGGGAGTCCTCTAATTCAACATCTGCGCAATTCAAATCACCTAAACACTATCATATACTACGACCCTCAACCAAATACATTAACATCTTCGAAAGTTTATTAAAAAATTGTTCCGACATTGTTTAAAAGGAGGTTTTTGCATGAAGTCATGTCATTTGAACCATAGATTGGCAAGTTCATTGCCTCCGCACAACATGCTACCTTTGTTAACGAAGGCTTGGAAGCCAAAACGACTACCTATTTTTAATAAGCTGCCATTGAATGCAGTATTGCATGCTGGTTCCAATCTACTTTTTTCGTCTGCTGAACCCCTCTGTAAAGGGAGGAAGCCATCGTACTGCAATAATGCTGTGCAAAATGCAGATTGAGGTCCTCAGATCCATGCTCGACTCAATGCTAGACGGAAATGTGCAGATAAGCTGCTGTGCGGGTCCTTGCTCGAACATGAGTTGTGAGGAATTCATCTGTAATCAGTTTGCAAGTCCGATTTTTCGGATCAAACTGCTCATAACTCATGCATAAAAGCAATCAGCAAACGCATAGAACAGATCTGAAATCAGTATTTTATGCCGCATCCAATGGTTTGCGACTTTTTCGGGTAGCTTTTCTGACCACTGATTCTTGCTAGTCAAAATCGTCCCTTTTATACACTTCATTCAGATTTATTACATGAAAAAATTTTCGGATGTTAACCCGGTGAAAGGTTACATAATCATGGAGTACGTCACTGACCTTCACTCTGTGCGTGTTTATGATAATGTGCCCCCGGAAGCCATAATTGAGGTGTGACGTCGTAGCAATTGAATATTGAAACTTACCGAAGTTTTTCAGACACTTCACGCTTTAGCAGCAATGGAAGCAATGTCATTAAAGTTTTCTTCGGATGAAGAGAAACAGTTTCCAAGAAGATTCTTTACAGAATTCTACAAAGATTTTCTTGCAGAGGACGTATGTCCACTCATTCTTTCGTACGTAAAAAGTATGCCGTTCAAGGTGGGAGGAGTGGAGAGCTGAAAAGGGAAGCATCATATTTCTGTGCTCTAAACATCTCTATTTTCTATCTATCTTATAAAGGCTCGTATACCTTATCTAGCAGTGGCGTACCGAGCCCCCCCCCCCCTCGAGAGCGGGTCGCGTTATTTTTGAAATTTACTTACATGGGTTATAAAATTGTGCAAATGACTTGTTTGCACTTGTAAATAACTAAAATAATTTTTAAAATTTTTAAAAAATTCATTTTAACATTAAAAATAACTTTTTCGGGGGCGTGCACCCCTTTTCTTAAAATTTCGGGGTCTGAGCCCGCGATTTTAGGATACATACAAAAAATTTTTGGAATGCACCTTCATCGGAAAAAAATTTTGTCCCCCCCCCCCCGAGCCAAAATCCTGGGTACGCCACTGCTATCTGGGTGTAATGGATGCCGGGTACTGCCATACAAACTATAAATCAATGTTCTATGTGGTTTTTGAAGTCACTACAGAATTATCCCTGTTTTTGAAGTCGTCTGTCCAACTATAGACTTGCGGAAAACGTCGTGAAATTGGAATGGCCTCTTGGCACTGTTAGACATGTTTAAAGTAGGAATAAGTGGGATTTCAGCTCAATGCATTCTTCGAACTGCTGTTCTCAAGCTGAAGTTTGTCGAAAACTCACGATCTTTAAATTTATTTGTCCTGTCGAGAGCATAATATTGGATTGTCGAGTGACAAATGGCGCTTTTTATTTGTTTCTTGTAGTATTGCAACCAGGCAACCTCAGAATGCGCGTGATAGAGCGAAGCAAGCTCATCTAAGTTTGCAATTAGCCTTCGCTCCAATTTTAAACTGCTGGAAATTCGAAGTCAACATCTAAAAGGTTCTAAATGCGAAAAAAAAGTCCGATTTCTTTCTCAAAAAATTTAACGAACCTCTTTCTCTCGCACACATATATACCTTTTAACATCAGACATCCATATAAACAGCGTTGTACACTTTTCATAACTAGAAACTGAGAAAACGAATATTATCGTGTTTTCAAAGCAATAGTGTGTCGTCCTTAATTGAGCGATTTTCCATAAGCCCCCAGAAAACCAAACTTAGCTCCCCCTGGTTTTGAAGTCAAAATACCCTACACAGATGCATAAGCCGCATCCCGTCTGCTCTGAAGGCGAACACGCCTAAATGCTGTCTGTAACCATGGGGCGCGTCAAGCGAGGGCAATGTGCGAGAAAGCGACCGCTTCGCGAGACATATATGCAGCAGCACGCCTAGGTCTGCTCGCGTTTTGAGCATAAAGGGTGTGTCTTGTACACCTGAAAATAGCGTAATCATTTCTTTCTTTGATAGTCAGTGCGGCCCATAGAAAAAATACAGCAACTGTACATAGGAATGTTTGATGTTGACAGTATATATGTGTGCGAATGGGAGGTCCGCAGAGTATTCTCAGCGAATATCCAATTTTCCCGATTTTTTGAGAATTTAAATCTTTTTAATTTTTGGCTTCAAACTCTCTTTAGATCAGATTAGGGGCGAAACATGGATGCCACCTTGTAGACACCTTGCTCCCTTGTTCTGTGACTGGAGTTTCCAGTTGTTCAACATAGGATGCTTGGATCCTGCCTCATAACCTTTTTTATTGATTCCTTGATGGATGTCGAGATTCGTTTCAAGTTCCTCGCACTAATCAATGAAGACTCTCCTCACAAGCTGGCAAATTTACAAATTTGGTGGGTCCTACTCGAAGGACCAGTCACCACTTGATATAACTTCCAGCCTCAACCGTCACAAACATCCTTTCTTTGTGACGATTTATTCCTCGCTATTGGTTGAACCATACTTTTACTCAAAACTGACATTTTGCAAGAAGCTTGACGGTATACTATACACACCAAACTCGCATTTTGTTAGCTCACGTAAAAAGTAGGAGCTTTATTACGTACATGTAGTTCTTCAAATCCCATAACATATGATGTTCCAGGCTTTACACAATATCATGAAGATTTGTCGCTCCTTTGCAGCGGGAAAATTTGCGGCAAAAGCAGATAAAATAGAGGAAATTTTGACCGCGCTTATCGATGAGCAGTGGCTTGATCAGGTTCCAGAAGAGTTGGGTAAGTTGATACCATCAAAATCTGGTAATTATTAGGTCAAAGCAAAAACTTTGCTAATTAATGACACTCTTAGGTTGTAAAGAAAGTTTCCGGTCATTTTCAAACTCATGTCGTTCTCGGTTAAATCTTGAGCGCAGGAGTTTGATATTGTTCTGTAGAAGAAAGCTTGTGCTTTACATAGTCATCCAATCTCTGTCGTTGTAAGTTGTATGACTTACACATCAAAAGGAAGTCTGTGCAACGATGAAAATTTCACAATTTTTCTTTCTGCTGCCAATTTTTCGCAGTGAAGAAAAACCTTTGACGGGTGTTTACTTTGAATGAGGGAACTGTCTTCTTCAAAACTGCAGCCGCGCTCGGATTTTCCAATACGCGCCAAGATTACAAGCTCTCAATATGCCTCTAACCGCGTCTTTGCAGCAAAGTTTGAGCCTCTCAAAAAGGATCAATCTGCTTGAAGTTGCAGCGTTTTGAGAAGAAAATTCGGAAGTGGATTTGGCATTATTCAGTCAATCAGAGACGTTACACAAGCTGGTCGCAAAAAACATCCGCATGAGTTGTAATTTGTCAAAGTTTGAAGTCAACTGCCTATGCAAGAGACCGGTTATTTGACTTCAATGGGATCTCTGCTCTGAAAATTCTTGCATCTCCTACCAAATCATTTGTACAGATACACTGCTTCAAAGAATATCATAAATTTTCTTATTCAGAGAACTTTGGGTGAACTTGGAAGTTCGCAAACAACTTTCAAACCTATTTGTAAATTTTGGTTCAATGGTATAGAATACATATTCAAATGTTTCATTTCGCATGTCTGTATATAGATTACACTCAAACATTCGAATATTCTGAAATCATTTAAAATGTATAATATGGTTTTCAAATTATGCATCAGCTTGCTTTTGATCTTTTTTCCAACAGAGACGAACCCACATGTGCTACTTTTTCACTCTGTTCGTTCCTTCCCTCAGGCAGAGTATGGCTTGATTTGTAAGTCCTTCCCGGAACTCCTCAGTAAGGAAGGAGGTAGAATTGAGCAAAAGATTGAAAATTAGGTAATTTTTACTACGTATTTGACTACAATGCATTCAAATAGAATTAAAATTATGTGAGAATGTGACATGACTTGCTTTCAATAGCCTCGTTGATTCCATCGTAGCCGGGCAGAAAGTTGTCAATGCATAAATGAAGCTAACAAATTTATTTTGTTATTTTAGACTAACACTATTGCGTTTACAATGTTCGTTATTTATTTATAGAAATATTAGGTCGTTCCGAAAGTAATGTCGCTTTTTTCAAACGTATGCCACATCTCGTGGAACAAAGATTTGTAAGAGATTCTGGAAGCATTTGATGCAACATTTCATTCTCTTTCTAATGGTTGTGAAGCTGTTGCAATACAGTCAAGGAGCTTCCAAAAAAGAGTCAAATGCGGCCTATGCTTTTCAAGATGGCCAAGTTTCACGATTTTTCTAAAATTTCATAACAAACCTCAGAAGGAGTCCAAGTAACGGATGGATGGAGCAAACCCTACAGGAAACAGCACAACTTTTTTCTACTTTCCAGAGCTCGTCATAATTTTTGTACAGATTTTTTGATGGAACCACCGAATTTTAGCAGGCTCGTCTCAGACACAAGTGCATCAAACGCCAACAAGTCTCCGGATTTTGAAACTTACAAAGATGGATTATGGTTTGGCAACAATTTTACAAACCAAACGAGCATTCACCGCTTCGGTTTAGCCACTTTCGAAAATTTCGGGTACACCTTGGGGTATTCGATGGCATTGAGAAATTGATTGTAGAAACTCTGAGAAGCAAGCTAAGGGAAAGAAAAAAATTATTCTGTGTTCTATAGTGTTTGCTCTATCTACCTGCCACTTGTACTTTTTCGGAGATTAGGTACAAAAATTTAGAAAAATAGCCGAACTTGACCATGGCAAAAAGCATGAGTCACAGGTTTCGGTAATTTTTCGAGAGCTCATTAAACATTATGCACTGAAATTAAAAACATTAGAAAGAGGATGAAATGCTGCATCAAATGCTCTTAAGATCTCTTGAAAATGTTGATTCCACGAAAAGTGGCGTTCATTCGAAAAAAGCGACATTACTTTGGGAACGACCTAATACTTTTGTAGTTTCTACAATTTTAAAGTTGAATATTTGAAATGATTATGTTTAAGGTCTGTTATACATTTACTATTCCAGTCAAGAGCATATTTGTATATAAATACTAGGTGGGACCAAAAGTTCGTTCGCCAGCTATTTAAAAAATAATAACTTCTCTTCGACTCGATGTTTCATCTTTAAATTTATATTCACCTGAAAAAAAAACCATTATCTTTACAACAGTCCTTTGCCATAAATTGGAATGCGACAGTTTGAGAGTCAGAAGCAAGTGAAGAAAATTATTTACATTTTCTTTTTTTTTGCAGAGTCACGAAAAATTCTACAAGTTTTTTGTTCGATAAAAAAGATTTTCTCGCTGCTACAAACTTTTCTCATGAATTAAGACAAAATGCGAGAAATAGGAGTAAATAAAGGAATAAAGGAATTGAACTCTTTTCACTCGGGTTTTCCATGTTAAAATCAATATTTTTCGAAAATTAGGACCTGTAAAAGGCTGAAAATTTACGGCTATACTTCTAAGGGAATCATAAAAAAACAAATCATAATGTGGAATCACTTGATGGAAACAGCGTGGCTTCGTTTTTGTATGAAATGAAAATTTAAGTTTTTTCGATTTCTAAATGAGGGAAAATGCAGCAACGGTACGTAACAGTGTCTACTGTGGTGTGCAATCTGCATGAGCAACTTGGATCGTACGATTTATTTAAACGAAGATGGGAATTTTTCCCAATTTTCGATTCCAACCCAATATACAGGGTGTCCCAAAAAAATGTATCGAACGTTTGATCGTTAATATCTCTCTTCCCAAGAAGTCTTTTGTCTTGCTTCAGGTACCGTTCTGTAGAGCTGGCTTCAACTTAGATTTGCATTATAGAACGAATCACCCATCTCTCTTCATTACTGTAGCATTACGGTAGAAACTTCAAAAAGGGTTTTAAGCAATGAAAGACCATATTTTGCCTCAGAAAAGAAACAAAACAGCCTGAAAACTTTTACACTAGGCTAATTAGAGTTGCTGATTATAACTGTAAAGTTTCCAACTTGTTATGATGCTTCATTGAAGAGTTATGCCAGTAAGAGGTAGCGGCCATTTTTTCAATGTTTTTAAAAAGTGCGATTAAACCATTTAGAATGCTTCGTGATCTTGTGAATAGTTGAGTATTGGACTCAGCGTTTATAAAAACCCTATTACACATGTTTTCATATTTTTTTGAAAAATTTTGAAATGGCAGCTTTTTCCACATTGACACCATATGTTTCAAGTTTCCACCGTAATCCTACAGTAATGAAGAAAAATGGGTGATTCGTTCCATAATGCAAACCTAAGTTGAAACCAGCTCTACAAAACGGTACCTGAAACAAGGCAAAAGACTTCTTGGGAAGCGAGATATATAGATCAAACGTTCGATACATTTTTTTGGGACACCCTGTATTAGGTGGGTCCGAAAGTTCGTGTCGTCATTAGACCTATCCTCAAATCATTTAGAATAAAGACAAAGACATATTCTAAAAAGTGTTCTATGCGGAATTTTTTCCTCTTTTGAGCAGGGATGTTAAAATTCTTTTGATACCCGTTCAGAACTAAAAAAAACAAAAAGCCGGAGATATGGCAAAAAATGCCATAATTTTAGTTTTTTGACCCGTCCCAGACTGCACCAGAAAATTTTGAAAATCAGTATTTCGAGGCGGTAGAAACTCATTTGTTAGCTGATTATTGTTTAATCATAATCGCTTTTGGAAGTCAATTTGCAAAGATTTTATAGTGATTGCTTCGTACAATTTACGACTTCGCAAATGTGAAGTCTTCTGATGAATTTGTTTTAGAAAATACTAGAAAGCTAACTATCGACGCCAATAAATCAGGTTTTGTAGCATTTTGTTCACTCTACCCAACAGTTATCGAAGTTTTTCAGAAGTCCAAAAGGAAGATTTTTTCAAAAAATAGCTAGTTAAGGTAAGCAAAATGCATGGGTTGGAGATTGTGGCGATTATTCGAAAGAACATTGAAGTGATCTGAACAAAAGTATTACTGCTGGAAAAAGGAAGAATTTCTGCATAGAACGTGTATTCTGAATGATTTGAGGACAGGTCTAAAAAACAGCACGAACTTTTGGGCCCACCCAATAAAATAAACTTGTTTATACTTATGCATTTGAATGTACATGATGAGATAGTGTATGAATCATATTGGTTTGCTAGTTAATTTCAATTTTGAAATTTTAATGAACTCATCAAGTAAAATACATATGCGAACTGTTTTTTCAGTATATATTGTAGCTTTTTTGATTTTATTAGCGGTATTAGAAGAGTGTATAATCCCTTTGCAGAAAATTCAAAATATCTGTCTTATTGTTTATTTCAGCTATTATTTTATTATTTATTGTTTCTGTCCTAGTGATAAGTATATTGCTTTTCACGTGTTGATTCTATAATGTATTTTTTAGATTTTTCAATTAAATTGCGCATAATGTATCCTCACTTTGTAAATTAATAACTCATCACTGTATCTATATGGAATAATTCGATTGTAATAAGCAATACTCTTTACTGATCATAAGAATTCGAACCAGGAAAGTGTGAGATCTGCTGAGAGAGGGCTAAAATTACCCCTTACAGCACTTCACTTTTTATTTTAGTATATATGTACATTTTCAAAAGCTGTTCTCAAATATATAATCTACTAGGTAAAGTAAGTCTACAATTGAATTGAAATGTACACTTCAATTTATATCTAGCGAATATCTAGCGCGTTTTCGGCGTAATAGACTTTATTGTGTTTGTGTATATTATATTTATTACCAGCAATTTGAAGCACAGTTTGGGAATTTCACTTATGTTAGATTCAATAGTATTATGCGGAAGAATGGAAAC